TCGTAGCATCGGAGAGCGTTGAAAACCCTCGCCTCCGACCGTCGTATTGCGCGGTCGGACGTCGGATCGGACGGTTTCGTCGTACATGTGTTTCGCGCTTAAGTCGGCGGGAATGGCGGTCCGGCAACGCGATTTCTTCTGAGGCTTCTTCATCGTCACCGCGGCCGTCCTCCTGCCAGCTCACCACCGCCGAGAGCCCGACGATGCCCCTCCGACACCAAATCTGAGTGAGACCCGTCCGTACACTTCGGACTTTACTCTTCCGGACGTTTTACTTCCACTTGCTCTCCGTCCCTGGCTCCTTTGTTTCATTGTCTTTATTTTGTATTGCTGTAGCGCGCCAACCGTTTCTCTATTGTTTCATTTGGTTTTAATACTGTTGAAGTTCCGTGTGGAGCTATGAGGTTTTCTTTTTGTTGTGTATCGTTTGCCTTTGTGCCAACCTTGAATTTATATTTCTTTTTCTTTCGAGTAAATGTATTGTTCATTGTTCAGTCTATGTGTCCGCCTGAACTCATTCCGTTCTTCCCCAACTTGAGCACACGCGCCAACCGCGCGGGCTGACCGGCCTCAACAAAAATAAATATTGTTCTCAGTCGTTGTGGAGGGCCGGCGGGCGAACCGGCAAGGGGGAATCGCGCCTCTGACCTCCAGGCGGGGGCGACTGTGACACAGGTTGATTGGTTAATATGAGATCTAAAATATTTCCAGACTCGCGAGCGTCGCACGGTGGTTCTGTTACCAGCTGGGTGAGATTAAAATTGAGACAAACCTCAATGAATGCTTTTTCTTCCGAGTTGCTTACAGTTAAGAGTGATGGGTCAATCCAATTAATATTCGGGAAATTAAGGTCACCAAAAAGAAGAATTCGTGCATTTGGGTACTCTGCAGAAAGTTGACATAGTAGGTCGTTTAGTTAACGGGAAAATTCGGTACTATAATTTGGCGGTCTGTAGCAGATGCCCAGTACAACTGTTTGCGGAGAAGCCCGACAGATGAGCCACAAGGCTTCAATATCAGAGGGAATGGTAATGAGAGAACAAGACAACTGTTGGCTAACGGCGATGAGTACACCTACTCCTCGTGCGCCTTTCCGATCATTTCGAAAGATGTGAAACTTTGGCAAGTCAGCAAGGACTTCAGCGTCAGTGACGTTGGCCGGTAACCATGTTTCAGTTACTGGTAATATATTGCTGCTGGATGACGACACGAGATTAGATACAAGATCCTGCTTTGAAAGGAAGCTCCGTATGTTGGTAAAGATAACAGATAAGGAAGTATTTACACGAGGGGTGGATTGAGGACGGTTTATTGGTCGTTGATAGATTGGTGATTGCTATGCAATTTTTTTTACAGTTTGTGACAACTCGTCAAACATATAACGTTGCTTGCCAATGAATAGTGTTTTGTAGCGTAGCGAGAATGCGACTGCCTTGTTATTAGCAGATGTAACTAAGTGCTTCACGGGCGTTTTAAACGGGGCGCGAGAAATCTTCGCCAACGCTAAAGACGGTGCCCTTTAACTTACGGCCGTTCGAAAGAATGGCCTCCTTGGTTTTCAAAAAAAGTTAGGTTTCCAGTTAATGGGCGACAGCGTCCGTTTGTGTGACGGCCGAGGCGGTGATCTCGCTCTATATCTGTAGGTTCAAACGTCACGTGGAGGGGATCAGAGCATAATGTAATTATTCTTTCTTCGGACTGGACAGAAGTCTCATGTGGGACGGGATCAGGAATGCCGTAAAATATTAGATTGTTTCTCCGTGAGCGGTTTTCAGCATCGTCCATTCGGGCGTTCATCTCTAAAACCATATAGGATGTTTGAGCAGTATCAGCGCGAGCCGTCTCAAGGTCAGATTGCAAGGTGTCAATTTTTTTTTTTTTTGTAATGAACCTTTAGTTTGGCCATTCGCTCATCAGGTTGGCTATATTTCTGTTCCTAGTTAGCAGTTGGGCTTTGAGGTCTTGTACCGGGGAAGTTATCTGAGCCTCCCCGACAGACAGTTTTTTTTAATTCAGCAAGTATATCTTCCGTAGGTACCGGGTTGGTCTCTACGTTGCCGGAAAATAACACCACTAACAAGGAATGCATGACTTCAACACACTCAACGGCAACAGACACACAACACTGCGGGCTGGGCAGCTGTACGAGAAAGCAATCATTTTATTTTTTAGAGTAAATAACATACGGTTTACTAACCTGCATAGCGAAAGCGAGCGGATTAGTTGACTGTGTCGCAGCACAGCCACCGAGCCAACAGAGCCGCGTGGGAAGCTGTCGTAGCTTTATAGTTGACATGGCTGGGTCCGTTGATGATGATGATGGTGTTCTTTGTCCTGGGTCGGGGCTGTAGTTTCCGATCGAAGGCGTTGACACGCGTGCCGTCACGCAGTGGGAGGACAGATGGCAATCACCGGTATCGCGTCCACAGTACGTAGGCACACATTCCGAGGTGACACTGGGGAAGGCAATCGCTAGAGCAGGAAGCAGCACACGGATGATGACGGAGGGAAATACCTGCATAGCGAAAGCGAGTGGATTAGTTGACTGTGTCGCAGCAGAGCCACCGAGCCCAGTGCTTCTCCGGAGATAGTCGTTTTTGGAATCTCGGAGAGCGAATCGTGCCATTTAGGTAGTTCAACGATGGTTATGTCGTTCGAAACGTGAAACGTGTCTTCCACGTTAGCGATTTGGTGCCAATCTGATCCGAGAAGTAGGTCAATTGACTTGGGAAGTAGAAAAATGAGTGTTTCTTGTACCTTCGGCGTGGTTGATGCAACGCTGATGGTCAGAGACGTGCACTTGTCAGGCGTCAGCTTGTTGTCCAAGACGCTGACAAATTCTTCCCCTCGGGACCACAGCAATACGAAAGTGTCCCTGTGTAGTGCCTTGGGACCGATCATCGATAAGTTGGCCCCGGTGTTGATGCAAGCCTTCATGGGACGGTTCCTAGCTCTCCGTGAAGGCGGTAACGATGGGGAGAGAATCTCCTGTCGTGGGCGCAAGAAGCAGAGGACATTCTTCACGTTTGGACCCGTGCCCTTTTGCGCGCGTTTCCCCTCTACGCGGATGGTCGCTGCAGTTTTCGGCTCTACACGCCTGCTCAAGCAGAGGTTTGGGCCTAAAACATAGCGAAGTTAGACATCGTTCACTGATGAAGAAAAATGACCGACTAAAGCAATTACACTTTTACAATGTTAATAAATGAACATACTATTCGGTGCAAACCAAGTAATAAATACCAAATTCACGCGCGTTCTCTTATAAGAATGCACAGGAGCACCGCAAAAAGAGACTGGCATGCTGTTTGCTTCAATTTGCCTCCCGGAAGTCGCATAGGCACTAGCTCCAGTCGAACCTCTAACGTACATTGTAATAACTCTATGGGCGAAACGATAAGCGAGTTCTAGGGGATTTGCTATCTGCACAGTATCAACCGGGGGGTCACGTGACACTCCAGTGAGGTCACCCCTCTACGTCACGCGACTCTGCCGGTGAGGGCGATGCGACCTTCCCTTTCTTCGCGTTTTGTCGGTTGGCGTTATTTGGGTTCGTCGATCGTCAAGCTGATCGCTCCGCGAGCGGGTAGCCACGGCCGCCGCGAAGCAGCGTTTACGGATGGGCCAAGTGGGTTATCAATTTTGTAATGAGCCGCCGCGAAGCGGCGTGAACGTAGGCCGGGGGGGGGGGGGGGGGGGGGGTCAACACGCGCCCCCGTCAAAACGCGAAGAAAAAGAAAGACGCGACCTCCACCAACAGAAAGGCGTGACGCAGAGAAAAGATGTCACAGGGGCATCATGTGAGCCCCGTTGATGCTGTGCAATTAGCAATTCCCAGTGCTAGTTTGATGTTTGGAACGCGACTCCGTCTGGTTTGTTTACTGCGTCCAAAAAAGTGGTCAATCGATTTGCGCCTGATGACGTTACACAAGTATCATGCTGTCGCCAGTCGCAATCCTGGCAGCGTCCCAACACCTGCGGTGCATGTGGTAGACGCCTGTTGTGCTGCGAATCGCTCTCCAGTGTGGGTACACGGAAGCTTCGGCAGTCCGAAGTTGGGACGCCGTGACGACGGCGACACCTGCGTTCGCTTGTGACACACTCAGTTTCTCGTTAGTATTTCTGCGGCCAACCGCCAGGATCGCGACATGCAAAAGCATGACACTTCGAGCTAATGCGGTTTTGGAAGCGAGCGTATCAGGCGTTGCACGCGCGAAGGCAGAAGAATAGCACTGGAATGAGAAAGCCGCACAAGCCCCCGCTCCCAGGAACACCTGCTGGGTCCCAGCAGGTGTTCATTTCTCTCGTTCGCGATGAGATTGCGCGGGCGCATCGAAACTTCTTTTGGCACGCCGATCGTATCGAAAGCCAGCCGCGACAGGGAGCGTACGAGGCAGATCGCAGGCACGGAGCCGACATAGACTAAGCCTAACGTGGCCGACGGAGCGGCAAGCATGCAGACGATGGGAATTCCGATGAGAGCGTGTCGGTGCGCGAGGCAGTCTGGGAGTGAGTAATTTTTCCATCGTAGTTGGGCACGAAGTCACGCTGTGTCCTGGAGTATTTGAACGTCCTTGTCACGTCTGCCACACAAAACCTTTTTTTTTCACATCCTTTTCTACATTCTCTCGTTCTTTCTTCCCTCTCACTTTCTTTGTCTCTCCCTCACTCTTTCTTCCTTTTTATCTCGTTTCCTCCTCTCCTGAAAGAGGCGGGTTTCTAAAGTACTCTCCTCCTTTCTCGACATTAGGTAAGAAATTAACGGGTGCCCTCTTGCTATTAGGTTGTTTCTTTGGGCTTTAAAAGAAACCCGATGATTGAAATGCATGTTCTTAACGAGCTTGACGTGAGAGCTTGCTCACTTGACGAGGCGGGTGGATCCCTCCATCGCGTCACTGATAACCGCGAGGGAAATTCGTCGCTGCCGAGCTTGAAGCTCCGTGTGACGTCTCGCAGATTGGGAGACCTTGCGACTACAATAGGGTTGGCAGGTGATATTCGATGACACAAGAGGATGATAGTGAGGCGATAAGCAGCCAGCAAGAGTGCCGCCGCCCGTGTCTTAAGCAGTGCGTCTTTCGCACAAAATTTGTCGTTTTGAAAAGAAACAACCAACGACTGCGAAGAAAGTGAGTAAAGCTTGAATTCTGTCTTCGCTCGCGTGCATTTATTGCCCAGGTCCGGTTTTTCCCAATTTATGAAGGAAAGAAATTATAACCTAGATAACAGAAAGTATAAAACAGAGAGAGGACGAAACACAGACGAGTACTCGTCTGTGTTTCGTCCTCTCTTTGTTATCTAGTACATCTTACCAAAACGCTCGTTAGTAATATAAAATTATAACCTCCTTTCGCAAAATACAAACTCCCTCCCCCGCGGAAAAAAAGAAAAACGCGAACGACGGAATGACGGTTTATCGCCCCCGTCACATCAGTCATGGTCGCCGGGGGCAGATGCCTCGTGGCCCGTGGTTCTCTTTGGCCTGCTTGTATGTAATCCGTAACAAGTATCAGAATTATTGGTAATTATTTATATTTATCGCTAATTCTGTAAAGAAATGATTACATATTCAGGGAGCAATTGTAATTTAATTTCTTTATATTCGTAACGGCTTCATTGTAAGTCGTTAAAGGTTTTTTCGTTCTAAATCCATCCGGTCTTTTTACTGGCGACAACATTGCACCAGGCGGAATGTGAATATAAATTAATGGGTACACAATTATGTGCCCGAAATACATAAGCTGACAATCCATCCTTAGATATGTCCTGTACGGCACTTACCACTAATAATAGCGTAAGTTTTATACCCTACACTCACAACACAGTTATTATCTCTGAAGGTGCCTAAGTATATCGTACTTCAAGTCAACTAAAAAGGCCCGTACTGCGCACATGCGCGTTTGAATGCGTTTGATTGCGGAGAGCCGTTCTTGCCGCCGGGAGCTGTTCTTTGCGGTACCATCGCAGCGTGCCACAAGGGAATGCACTCTAAGAAATGGGGGTGTATAGGGGAACACCCCTTGTCCCATATGTAACACCCCAAAACAACAATTTGACATTCAGTCCACTGACGTCCAACTGACGATACTAACTTTCAAGAGCGCCTTGATAGGCGACCGATACAACTTCTTCAAATAGCTAATGCACGCATTTGCGGCTACAGTTAGGCAATCGAGGTTTTTTTGGCCCTGCTACAAAACTTCAGGGTTTTCTTTTTCTGGTCTTTGATACGCACATTATCTATTTAGTACGTTATATCTAACAACTATCAAGCCGCTCGTAAAAATTGGTATCGCCAGCTTAACGTCACTGGACGGAACGTTAGTGGTGTTACATACGGGACGAGAGATGTACCCCCATACACCCCCTATTTCTTAGAGTGTATAGTAGTAGTAGTAAGCGTTGTAGGTGAAGTGAGGGGGAGAGTGGGAACCTATCGTGTACACGGGCTGGGCGCATTTGTCACTGGCTCAAGGGACGAGGTAGTAGCGGGAGCGCGTCTCGGTAGACCAATCAGAAGCTGAGAAAAGAAAAGGAGGGTCACGTGCTCGCTCGCGTCACTCGACGAGGGGTATCCGGTTCTCCGTTCGCGGAACCTGCTTTATCGTTGTGGAGGTGGAGAAGGAAAACGCGCGAGCGAGCTTTTCAAAGGCTGCGATGGTTCAAGCCGGCCAGAAGGTCAGGGAAGCCAGCGGGATTGTCGCTGTCGCCGGGCGTCGCCATGTTGCCGTGAATTTCGCTTATTATTTATTGGTGAGCCGCTAGCGACGATGCCGTGTTTTTATTGGTTATTTGACTACGGTTGACTACGTGCCAACGCAACTGTGTGTAATAGAAGCTTGGCGCAAGCGCTCTTCGCAATGCCACGCGTCCGCTTGCCGCTACGGAACGCACCGCGCTCAAACGCGAATGTGTAGAGTCCTGCCTATCCGCGGATTACCCGCGCATATCCGCAGTAAACTAACGGATGCGGATAAAAATGAATCAGATTTTGCGGGTTGCGGATCGGATGCGGATATCCGCGGGTCGGGATCTACATTTTTGCCGAGGCGGCCTAAGAACGTGTGCGGCCGCACTGCACAGTGTAGAGTGAATAAGTGGGTGATACTATGAAGGCGCATCATCGGAATGTATCGTGGGGACAAACTACTCCTTTAGATAAAAGCTGTCAATTGGGGAGAAAATTATTCTTTACTTCAAGAAAGATTTGATTATCGCCGAAGATCGCTTTAGAACGTTATATCTCGCCCAAAACGCCGTCCCTACAAAAATGTAAAGAATGGAGGAGCATTAGTCGCCCCGGGAAAGCGTATTCTTGTCTGGCAGGGAAAGAGCGGAAAACGTTCTTTGGGCAAAGAAACCCCAAAACATACAAGCCACAAGAACCTGCAAGTGGCTTCTTCGCCTACAGGTAGATCGGGGAGGTTGAATTCGATCCTCTGGAGTGGTGCAACTTGCGCCAGCACGAGTTTCCGCAACTCGTTCTTGTAGCGCAGTTCGTGCATGCCATCCCAGCATCAAGTGCACTACCGGAGGGAGACTTCCCATTTAGCGGGTATTAATTTAAGAGAGGTGAACTAGTCTGACTCCGTCCATGTTGACGATATTCACTTTGCTCTACAAAGCAACCTGGAGAAGTGAAACGTTGCGTGTGCGTGCGTTTTCTTTTCATTGACAGTTGACACTGAGTTGTTTTTTAGTATATGATTCCAAGGATGCAGTTGAGGGTTCGTGTTTAAAACTGGAACCGAGAAGAGGTGTTTCCATTATTGTGTATTTTGATATTTTCCCAGTGGTGTACTCGCGGCTTACCGAATATACACGAGCACTTTGCAGCGGTGGGTGAGTCCCTTTTCTCTCACGCTTCTTTATTGTTTGGTCGAAATAAAATGACGCCATGTCGTAGTCTCTCCTCTGTTATTTTTCATGTGAATAAAATATACATCAGCTTGAAGTGGGTTTCACAAAGCAAAACGAAAAATACATATTGAAATTCCCTTCCTTTTGAGCGCATCTTCTGGACAGAGCGTCAGTGTCACGGACTCCTAAAACAATAATAAGATGCTTTGAACATCGCCACACTTTGTATTGCTCAATTGCTGTCTATAGGGTCCCCAACTTTGGAATGGTGATGGCAACGTGATGATAATGTCTAAGTAGTGTCTATGCTTATAGTTTTCACTTGAGGGCTGAATTCAGATCGCTCTTTTTCCGAAACCAGATACAGACGAAAAACAATAAATTTGACAGCGAAGTTGTGGGTCATTAATGTATTAAAGAATGGGAAGCCTGATGTGTATACGGATAATTTTCTAACCGAGTCTTACTTTTAAAATTGATCTTTTTTTATCCCCGGAATTTTGAATCTAGCCGGAATATTTCAGTTTAGTTCCTTTCATCGTAAAATGGCACTACTAGAAAATGTAAAGATGCGAGGAAATTTTAGATTTGAGAATGAAAGCACCGCTATTCCTATCGTTAGTAACACACTTCTCGTGGAGAAGGACATTCATCAGTGGCTCAGGGCATCGCCTATTACGTTCACGGTTCTTGCTTCGTAATCCGTTATTTCTGATACTTAACGGCTAAAGTCACAATCTTATTCCTGGCGACTTTCCACGTCCCGAGTTTATTAACCTAGTACCGACGATAGTAATGTATAATGTACCATGGGCTTAGAAGTAATGCTGCAACGTCCATAAGGATAAGGAAGGGATATTAGGTTGGAATTTCACTAACTGAAATTTTACTCTGGTCCCTGAGAGGATGAAAACGGCAGACCGTCTCTTTCCGACGTCCAGCGAGCCCTCGCTGCCTTCCGCCGTGCTTTGGCTTCCTTCGAGTGCACCCTCGTGGCGACGCCGAGGCATCGTCGAAGGTAGAAAGTTCGCGCTGGGGTGGCGGAACAACTGAAGAACGTTCCTGCCGTCTTCAACCTGTCAGTGAAAACGATCGCTAAGATTGACAAAATACGTTTCAAGCTGACTGTTCATGAAATTTTTGACGTCATCTTTTTTGGTCCGTTCCTTTCAAGTTTGCAATTTCGGTTTACTTAGCCCAGTAAAGCAATTTTTACATCACGGAAACTCTTACCAGCTTGCCTACGATTTCATGGCGTTTTTCTAGTTTACATCGCAAATAATGCACCAAAGTCACATGCTTGTTTTCTGCTTTTTTATTTCTTTCAAAAAAAATCCCAGGGTTTGTGAAAAAAAAAATTGTAAGATCAGCCGTGCTGGATAGTTTTCCAAATAATACATTCACATCACAAAGAGATACAGTTGAACACTTTCATGTAGAACAAACCTTTGGTTGTCCAACCATTTTTCCGGAAAGCGACGATCAATAATAACTGCTACAAAAAAAAAAAACAAAAAAAAAACACGAAAACAACATTATTTTGAGAACTATTCTACCTGAGCGTAAAAAATATTCTATCTTCGTTTTTGGAAATTTCTTTAATTAAAACCTTGAACATTAAAACAGTCATGTTAATCAACTGAAAACACCCTTTATGATGGTGGCAGGAAAGATGGCATTTAAAAGCTGCTTTTGCCGTTTTATGCCTTGCAGTAAATTTCTAGTGAAAAGGGAACATTTCATGTATTATTTGTACAATACACAGGTGAGAAAATATCTACATTATATCATGCGTACATAGGCCCTTTCGTGATGTTATATATTCGCATATATTTATTGGTGAATTTAATATATATATATATATATATATACATTTTTTTTTATTCTTACACATTTGTTTTTAAAAAACCGTGAAAGCTACACTAATGCGGTTTTTGCAGGTGGGTTATACGGCCAGGCGGACATAATGTGGGTGGCTAATCTTTACGATAAGTCGACTAATTAATTAAAATTAGTCAATTAACTTTTTTATTACTGAAAATAGGCATATGGTTTCAATTAGAAACTTGTAGAGCATCATCGAAAACCACTAAATCTACTATTTTTGGAAGAATATAACACCGGAGCAGCATTTTACGGCGTTCTGTAAAAACTCTCCATTTGGACGCGTTTCCAGATTTTCGTTTCTTATCGGAGCGCATCACCGCGCCCGTGGTCCTGCTCGAGTCCCCAGTGGCTGAGACCCGCAACACACGTGCGCCGTACTTCCCTCCATTCTACGAGGAAGGCGAGGGGTGGCTTCGCGCCGCGACCACCAGGGAGCAGGAACGCGGGCGCAAAGATGCGCTCCGTTAAGAAACCGAAAACTAGAAACGCGTCCTAATGAAGCGTTTTTACGAACGCCGTAAAATGCTGCCCCTGCGTTATATCCTTCTAAAAATAGTTGATTTAGGAATTTTCGATAATGCTCAACAAGTTTCTAATTGAAACTATATGTATATTTTCAGTAATTTAAAAGTTAATTAACAAACCTTATTTAATTCGCCGACTTATCGCAAAGATTAATCACCCATATTTGTCCGCCTGGCCGTATAACCCTCCTGCAAAAACCGCATTAGTGTAGCTTTCACGTTTTTTTGAAACAAGTGTGTAAGAATAAAAAAAAAAACCTGTATATATATATATATATATATATATATATATATATATATATATATATATATATATGGGTGGTTTCATCTCAAATCGTGCAGGCAAAAAGGGTAGAATTTTTAATTTCGATGAAAAAAATATATGTTATGGCGCCGTTTCTAAAAACGCAGTCGCCACAAACCGCAATTTCGTCGGATTTTTTGTTCTCGACTTTCGAATCTTTAAAGAGGCCGCGGCGAAAAGCAGTTTTTTTCACACCCGTCGTGGGTCGGATGTTTCGCTTGATCTCCCGCCATGGATTTTTAGTCCACATTATATTATTTTTTTTCAAGCACTCTGTGGACACATTTAAAAGGCTCCAATACCATAAAATAATTTCAGGCGTTTTGCTTTTTTTCTGTAAAAATGTCAAAAACGCCCCCTCGGTCAATTGTTGACGAACTTTGGCAATTAATTACTGGCGATCTACTTGGGTTACATCGATAATTTTTATTTCCACAGAGAACCCAAAACACTTTCCTTATATGTATTATAAAACAAATTGTCTGTATAAAATATTCTTTGCGGTACGTTTACGTTAATGTTATGTGAAAACCAAAAAGTACCATTTTTGAAATTGATTTTCTCAAAAAACCCATTTTTTTTATTTTTTGTTAAAATTGAGATGTGATAGTTTTCTACGCGAAAATCAAGTCGAGAAAGTGTATATTTTGTTTGTATGTTCTGTATTTAAGCATCAATATCGTACAAAAACGTGTTTTTACGGCTCGAAATGGACTGGCGAATTGCGCGTCTTCACAAGCTTGGAAATAGTTTTTTTCTTTTTTTCAACCTTCCCACATAAAAATGCAATATAGTATTTCCACCCTGTTATATTTATTGATTATTTAAATTTTATTATAGCCGGCAAGCTACATCGGAGGAGTTCCAAAAAGAGAAAGCAACACTTCTTAACAGACCAGCAGGTGTCGTAAATTTTTAACGTGTAGGAGTCGGCAGACGTCGTATTGATTCGGGGCCCTCATTGGCCTGCATGAACGTCCCGCCCTTTCGGAGCCAGCAGATGACCACGACCTTTCGCGCTCGTCGTGCTAGATTGGACGGCCCGTGACGGTAAAGCGAGCAGCGCACCCTGTGTCACGAGGAGTGAAATGGTACGAATGTGTCGTTGACGCGGCGAACAGTGACAGCCACCCCGGGGGAGCCATTCAGAGTATTGCACTAGGGAAAGCAAAGGAATCGTTGCCTGAAAGGATGAGGACACCACGGCCTTACAATATCGACGGTCAACAACTGTTCTGCCAGCCAAAACAACGCCGCGTGCGCGCTAAAACCGGCGGCGCGGGACAGAAATCCCGCAGACGCACATACGAAGATGGGCCGGTTTCGTTAGGGATATGGGGAAATTTTAAACCAGCCATCCGTGCATGCGTGAAACGATACCGCCTGTTTTCCCTAGCTTCGAGCGCCCTATCCTTACCTTGAAACGGCCGTGCTCTCTCTCTCTTTCTCCGGGGAGATCCGATAGCACCGAAGGGTTATCTATTAAACTTGAGGAAGGAAACGAGAAGGGACTGTTTAAGTTGAATTATCCCCAACAACCCGCTAGTTCTGTCTTTATAAAGGGTTATCTCTTTTGGAAACAGCAAAGCCCAGAGACTGACATTAAAACGAGCGTGTTGGTAAATATACTTGTGTTTGTATTCTGCCCGGAGACTAGTCGGGTCGAAGTCAGCCTCCTTGTCAACTATAACCGTTTGTGAAGAGTGGGCTTCTCCCGAGATGAAAAGTTAGCGCCGGCTGACGTGTTCTTTTGAAAAAGGGAAGGGGAAAGAGAAAGTTTGAGTAACTGCAGAAACTGCCTCGAAAGCACCTCTATCGCCTGCTCGAATCTATTCTTCACTTTCTTTCGCACAGCCACTGTTCCGCACAGCCGTCGTGGATGTGCGTAATAGAGGGAGGAACGGATTCGAGCATCATCTGGACGCCGTCATCCTGCCAGACTTCAGTGTCGTGGGACCGACTCGTGTGTGTTTCTTCGCCCCGCTGAAATTTGTTCCTCGGGTGCGGTTTTTCATGAACGTTTTTTTTTTTCAATGTTTTCTTACTAACTGTTTGTTAGCACTGTTCAGTTGTTGGGTTTATTTCGTCATGGCGTAGCGGCCTGGCGGTGATGTAGAGAGCGTGTTCGCACGCATTTGGTTGCGTCCCGTTTAGGGAATGCCCGGAGGAGTTGGTTTTTGTTCTTGCCATGTGCGGCTGAGTTTTCCCGTCTTTATTAAATTATTGATTTTTTTGTTTTACCTTTACGTGCCGTCGACTTCTTTGCCTGACTCTCCACCAGGCGTGGACCTATCGCCTTGCCACCGCTCAAACCTAAATACTTTATTTTTTTAACGCAATTTTCGTTAAGATGGGAGTTGGGCACTTTAATTCCTATTTATTTATTTTTATTCTCTACCCCTCTTCATGACACACTCTCTGTGTGTTTCGGAAAGTTTCTGTGTCACCGCTCTTGTGCATTACGGAAGTGAGAGGACATTCCGTGGTGACCTGTGCGATGTGCGGTGAACAAACCCCCAGTGTTTGGTTTCGGAAAGAATTGTATATAATATATCGACGATGTGGTGACTTTCTTTCTCTTAGTAATATGACAGCTAATAGCTAGTCGTGCTAGTTTACTGTGAAAGGTTTATAAATCTAAACAATACAACGCCTGTGGCTTTTGGTTATTGAAAGTCTACTAGGCCTGCTGATTTGGTTAGATATGTATCTCGTGGTTCCCGCTCTGATCAAAACGTACATAAATATTCAGTACCACAAAATCCGTTTATAATTCATTACAAAATGCAGAAGAAAATTCAAGAAAACTTTTTCACAATTCATAGAGACGCATGGGTCGCAATGTCTGACTTAGGTCTTGCAAAACAAAGACGTCTTTTTCCGATATTGAGGCCTAAATATAAAACATACAAACAAAATATACACTTTCTAGGCTTGATTTTTGTGTAGACAACTATCATATCTACATTTGAACGAAAAATAAAAAAAATTAAAAATGGGTGTTTTGAGAAAATCAATTTCAAAAATGGTACTTTTTGGTTTTTGCATAATATTAACGTAAACGTACCGCAAAGGATATTTTATACAGCCGAGTCATTTTATAATAAATATAAAGGGCGTATTTTGGGCTCTCCGTGGACATAAAAAATATCAGTGTAACCGAAGTAGATCGCCAGTAATTAATTGTCAAAGTTCGTCAACAATCGACCGAGGAGGCGTTTTTGACATTTTTACAGAAAAAAAAGCAAAACGTCTAAAATTATTTCATGGTATTGGAGCCTTTTAAATGTGTGCACAGAGTGCTTGAAAAAGATAATATAATCTCGACTGAAAATCCATGGCGGGAGATCGAGTGAAACATCCGACCCACGACGGGTGTGAAAAACATTGCTTTTCGCCGCGGCCTCTTTAAATATGCATAAGTCGGGAACAAAAAATCCGACGAACTTGCGGTTTGTGGCGACTGCGGTTTTAGAAACGGCGCCATAACATATATTTTTTTCGTCGAAATTAAAAATTCGACCTTTTTTGCCTGCACGATTTGAGATGAAACCACCCATATATATATATATATATATATATATATATATATATATATATATATATATATATATATATATATATATATATATATATATATTGTAGCGGCGTGCTGAGGCGCGTGCCGGGAACCACGGATGACGAAGACGAAGTGTGGGCAGGCGGCACGTGACACACTTCTAATCTGGCCTGAGTTGGTTATGGACGTCCTCTTGTAAATGAAAAAAAAAATGTAACAACTGGTGTCAGAAGTGGGATTCCCGGCATTTTTCCTGACGGCCCAAGAAATCATTCTACAAGGAGCAAGGACATTCTCTGCGCGAGTGTCAGCACCTTGTTGAGTGGCGCGGCCCTGCCTGGATTACCACCGACCAGACCAGCTTCCTTCTCCATGTTCCATCACTGAAGCAACGCTAGCCGACTGTCACGGTCTCCCGGGAGCCCACGCCACAAAAGCGCGTAAGTGCGCGCTAGGCTTCAATGGTTTTCGGACAGGTTGTGGCAGTTTTGCGGTTGAAAGCATTCACGAAAAGTGATGGTGCCTCCTGAGCTAGGCAATGCCGGTGCATATTGTTGTCGGTGCTAACTTTTCAAAAGGCGCAAATGTGCTGTGGACTTAGGCACCGACATGTTCTGTGCGGCATAAGATTTGTTCTCCGACATGTCGCCAGGGATGATAATAAGTGAACCACTTGACCCCCTGGTATCAGGACTCTGTGCTTCAACCTTCCAAAAGCGCTAACGTGCTGGACTTTGGTGCTGCAGGCAGACTGTGATGTCGGCCTGAACTTTAGCGTGTGTGCAAATGAGCACGAAGTTTCATGTCAAAAATCTGCATGCTGAAAAGACTTCGCTCAAGCTGAACTTTTCGAAACAAACAAGTACAAGCAAACTGCCTGACACCACAGCAATGCGGCGAGGTTGTGTAGCAGGAAAACGATTTAAAGATCATCCCTCTAAGAAAAGAGTCCTTAGGGGGAATAGTGTAGCGGCGTGCTGAGGCGCGTGCCGGGACCCATGAAAGACGAAGCGCGGGCAGGCGGCTCTGGACAGACTTCTAATCTTGCCTGATTTGGTTATGGACGTCCTCTTGTAAGTTAAGGAAATGTAACAATATATACATATATTTCACTTGGGGTGTATTTCTGTATTCTGCAATTGCACCTTTTAGTTATGGGCTTTTCGCCAAAAAAGCTAGTTCACGATTTATTGTATTTAAAACTGTTTTATACCTCTACCCGTCCCCTGCAAATGTATATAAATTAGCCACGTAATAATATGAGTAAAAATAAAATCTAGACAGCAGGGACAGGCAGTAAACTGGGACATTATTAGCGCGAACAGGACACCGGCATAGGCTCACATTTTATTCGAATAACATGTCGGTCGTAAACATATTTTGCCACATGATTAATGTCTCGAACGAGTCCTTCCCACAACACTTGTAGTATTGAAAGCAGCCTCTCAAAAAAAAAAAAAAAAAAACAGAACAAAAAAAAAAAAAGAAAACGAAAAAACAACGATCGACAACCGCTTGGTCGAATTAACAGCGCTCGCAGTGTACCAGTAGTCTGCAGAATTATTCCGCGCAGCTGTTTTTACATCAATGGCTTGAAACTGACGTCACCGGTGAACCTGAAACCACATCTGGAATCCACGCGCCACCACGCCGTAGAAGTAATGCCCTATACATCAAATTATATACTCTAATAAATCTCCCGATGCATCGATAGCAACGAGACTTTTTAATATCGCACCAAATGATCCTGTTTCAAGAGGGTAATTATTGAATTTCGTTTCTTTTCTGGAGCGAATTTTTCTTGAGCTCAATTTTTTACAACATCGATAGCCTTCTTTCAATCAACTTCTGGTAAGCTAACGTGACCCAGTTTCCTAAAATACATATGGAAAGGAAAAATATTTTAAACAGCCTGGATAAAAAGGATGTCATAAAATGGATTTACAACGAAAAAAACAAAATTTGGGGGAGTAATACTGGGTGATTCAAGGGCGGCCAGGCTCTTTATTTCGACCGCAAAAGTCGGTTTCTTAACCTATCGCGTTCTGATTTTGTACAGCGTTGGCCACAGGCGGTGCATTTTTTCTATAAAATTTGCAAACGATAGCGAACCCACGTGCGTCTTCAAACCATAGGGCACCATGTATGGTTTAAAGACCGATGGCTTCGCTGCGTTTCCATGGGAGTTAAGCCTTTTTCTTTCTTTACTTTTCCCTCAGGTAAGCTCGCTCTTCGCAAATTTTATAGAAAAAATGCACCACCTGATTCTCTCTCCATGGTCTAGACCAGTGGTCGGCAACCTTTCGGCGCAGCGGGCCGAGTCGCCGTGAAGCTAAGGTGGAACGGGCCGGACGGCAAGCAGCGGGAAAGGGGGATGGGGAGGGGGGGTTAAAATTAAAGAAAAGAACGCTTGCACGAACTCACACTGACGTATATAAATCGAAAATGAACAGTTTCTTCATTTCGCGACACACGACATGAGATACATTTCCACAAAAACCTAGAGAATCCTCTCAGTGATACTTGTGGTGTTGAACAGCGCTCGCCAAACTACGTACATCCACATTCAAGCTACTAACTGCGAGTCCCAAAACATTTTGGATGTTCTCGTCAGCCATTCGCGAAGGCAGGCAACGGGCAGCGAAGTGGACAACTTTTTTTTTTCTTTTTTAGCTGACCGCGTTGCGCGGGGGGGGGGGGGGGGGGGGGGGGTGCTAGGGTCTGCATGATACTGCCACTGGTTGCCGACCACTGGTCTAGACTATATATACAGTCTAGACAATGGAGAGAGAATCACAAGTGAGACAGCCCAAGTACAGGGATAAAGTAAAGAAAGAACGAATGCAGGCATATACAGTTATTTGTTTATAGTATATGTTTATATCGCTCGCATTTGGCCTTTGCTGGATTTGGATAGTATTTCAATGGACTCGACTGATGCTATCTGTGGAAAACGCTGAGGCAGAAAAGCTGCATGCTGCTCGCGCAACATGTTATATGCTGCTCAACATGCTGCTCAACATGCGCGAACATGTTGAGCAGCATGCAGCTTTTCTGCCTCAGCGTTTTTGTTTAAAACAGAGATACAAAAAAAAACACGAAATAGTATACATAATTCGCCAATTCATTCAGACCACCAGTAGCATTCATTGTGTGAGATGAAAATTTATAGTGATACTCCTGCACTTGTGGCCATATTTCTTCATTTTCATATACCAGCTGCGATTCATGCGTTGCCTGCCCTGCCAACCATGACTGAAATGTTGGTTGATGTTTCGCCTGCAGCCACAGGCCATTCGTCAATAAAGCTAACGTCGTCACAGCCTCCACAGGGCGAGCGGAGCCAGTCAGGCAAAAATTCTGCCCTCGCCGTGACCTCACTCCGGTTCGCCGTAAGGGGGCGCCACGTAAACTTCTCGGGGCTAATACTGGCCGGCGCCAACTACAAATTCGTTTCGCTCCGGAAATACAGCTCCGAAAATATTTTTTTCTTGTAAATTTTTTCTGAGATCCTTTTTCTATTCAGGCTGTTAAGAATATTTTTTCTTCCTTTGCCTATGTCTTTTAATGGCTTTTGCACAGTGACATGTTGTAGTCCCTTCAAATGTAATGCTCCTCTTCGTGGAGAGTAGTATTTTAAGCTTTCTGCGAGTTGAGATGACGTGTTTACCTATCCCGGGAAACACGGAATTTTAGCCCGAAAACATGTAGAGCAAATGGAGCATTAAAAAAAGAAAGAAGGAAAAGAAAAACAGTAAAAGCCATGTAACATTTAACTCGTTTATTTTCGCATTCACCATTCCTGGGCACAAAATAACCGCGAGTCTTGTACACGAAGTTTTACGCTGAGCAACCTCCATTTGCCCGAGCACACACAGCATTATGAAGCCGTAAAATGCAAATAAAAGTTTCAAAGCAAAGTAGCTTAATTTTTTTTTGTTTTGCTTTTTTTTTTTTTTCGTTTCAGAACTGCTTAATTAGAAACTGTTCCGTCCCAGAACGTCGCTGTCATGGAATCGCTGAAGAGGCATCCAGTCTTTGGGCTAGATTCCCGATGGAGTTGGATCACTGCGCTTTCCTGCAGCTTGTGTCTGTTCATGGGGAACGTGGGTTCCAGGGTCTTCGGCATCGTGTACGTCGGTATCATCGAAACATTCCAAGTGTCCCGCGAAGAGGCGACGTGGCCGCTGACCATCTTCGATGTCGTCACAAGCTTTGCCAGTAAGCCTCCTCGGTATTCAACTATAGGCAGCTTAAAAAGCTTCAAATCGATCGGTAGAAAATGAGCTTGCTGTACTTGCCAAATGAAAACGCCAAATTCTCTACCGAAAAACCGAGTATAACTTTTCCCTACCTGGACTATGGAACTGAAAATCTAACTGGAATTGTTTCTGGAACTTGATATGAGATTGCTTGCAAACGAATGATTTCTGAAAACCCGATGATACGGATGGAAGCCAGATAGATCTTCAGTTCCATAATCCAGATAGCGAAACGTCATACTGGGTTTTTCGGTATGAAATTGCGGAACATTTTCAGCTGTTAGAAGTCGCAGATACATGGATGCGACCGCAGCGCATCGAATCGAGATTGGCGATTGAGATTGGGTAGAAAAAGAAGAAAGGGAGGGCGCCTGTGATTGGCTCCGTCTCAACTCCATGCGCTACTGCAGCATCCATGTAAAAACGGCCAGTGAATGCTGTCGCGATAGACTTTATTTCACCTAAGGTACAGTCGAAGCCGACGCTACGAGCTGATGGGACAAATCAGACAGTGTCAAAAGCGTCCCATCATGGCGTTCGTCACGTTTCTGTACGTGTTCTATCGCCACTGAGTCAATCTTAAACAAAAAAAAAAAAAAAAGGCCCAGTGATTCGCTTCTTAGACACCGCTTGATTGGTCCAATTAACTCGTAGCGTCGGCTGTGTCTGTACCTAAGCTGATAAGAAGTATAGAAGCATTCAGTTCTCCAATGTAAGTCAAGTTATTTGATATACCTGAAATGCTTGACAAAGACAAGAGACGCAAGAAAGAGACGAAATGAATGTAAATGCATGCCACAATTACATTCAGAGACATTTGGACGAAAATCATGAACAGCCTATATAATTGGCAACTTTTTCGTTAAAGGCAACTAATATTTTAGTTGCCTTTTGTTAAAGGCAACTAATATTTTATAAATGTTAAAGGCAACTAATATTTTCGAATTTGGGTCTACAACTGTTTTCAGCTCCGTCAGTATCTATGACTTACAAGGCATATATTTTATATATTGTGTGTAGTTTTACAAACATCACGAATCAAAGTTTGGTTTCGGTTGTCGTCAAAACCAAAACTACCTGCTTGAGAGGGATGGCAACACTAATATCAGAGGTACGGCCGCGACGTGACGCCATGATGGTGCTGCGGTACGTATCGCCCAGTGTTGCTGGAGTAAAAGCGAATCCGCTAGCCACCTGTTAAATAGAAGCTAGGCTTCACTTTGACGTATTATTTCAACTGTGACCATACTTCGTGCCACTAAAGCGAAATCAGTAATTTATTTTGATTTAACTAATCGGCGAACCTTTCCGCAAATTACTTCTTTAAAGACGGAATTCTCGAGCCCTTGAAGAACGAGGCAATTAGAAAATGGAATTATATGCGGTGCATTTGTTTCCCTTGTGTTCAGATTCAGGTGAGGAAATGTTCTTGTTCAACATTCACGCGGCTTTACTAAGACATGTTTTGCTTAACGAGTGTGTCTCTTAACAACGAAAAAATTATTTCCTTTTCTCGGTTTGAAAATTCTTATAACTTTGACAAACTAAAGAGAACTTACCACGCACAAATTGAATAAATTCTAGGATTACTATTGTAGGAATTAGCGTTCCGCCGCCGATTCACCATTTCCCACGTGGTCCGTCAACAACCCGAGTCCAGCTTGGTTCTTTCACAGGAGCGGGGTTCCGCTTCCCGTTTATTGGTACATAAAACACAACGCTGCAAAACACTCAATCTAAACTACAAATACACGCGACATTACAGAAATATTTACAAGCGCACGTTAAGTCAAAGCTAAACACAAAGATGAACACAAAGAGGGCTGTCACGGGTGTGGAGCTGGGAAGAAAAGAAGAAAAAGAAGAGAGGAAGAGGATCGCGAGAAACGACGGGCAGGTGCGGGAGTTCTGACCCGTCGCTTGTTGAAGCCGGCAACGCTCCGGCTACTGAAGCTTCACAGAAACCGGCCCGGCTCCGGTTCCTGAGACCCCGGCCACGCTCCGGCTTCTGAAGCCTCACCGAAACCGGCCCCGTTTCGGTTCCCGAGAACCCGGCCACGCTCCGGCTCCTGAAGCCTCACCGTAACCGGCCCCGCTCCGGTTCCTGAGAGCCCAGAAACGCTACAGTTCCTCAAGCCACGAAGAACCCGGCAACGCTTCGATTCCTGAGGCCACGACGAGCCCCGCCACGCTCCTGAAGCCCCGCCACGTCAGGCGTGAGTCGAGCTTTTGTGGGGACTTGACCACGGGGACTCCGGTCTGCTTTGAACTTTTCCTTTTCTTTCTTTATTGTTGATAACTGCCTCCTGATTTCCTTTCATTATATTATTACGTATGTACATGCCTTTGTCTCACCTGGTCTTGTCTCAATCATTTCGCGTGTCGGACCGGGCGAACTTGACAATTGTGGCGACCCTGCCAGGATCCCATTTACCATCAGTTTAATTGGATCACTTCTTCCGGGACACACACGGATTGCTAGAGTCAAAAAGACTAGCATGGAGAACGAGAAATTAATGGCGGTGGGAAAGGAGTTGGGTTATCTGGGAGATGAGTTGAAGAAATGGATGGAGGACGAAAAAGCTAGACTACGAGAAGAAAGAGCGTGGGCGCGACAGGAACGTGAGGAGGAATGTGTCCGGTTGGACAAAGAACGCGAAGTTCTGCAACTTCGGTTGGCGGTACAAAGCGCAGGGGCGCCACGTCAGGACGCAATCCAAGGTATAGGTGAAGGAGAGGCTACTAACTTGGCTGCGACTACCGGCGAGGCGCGACACTTTAGCCCTCATAAGTTAATTCCTCAGTTCGACGAAGGAAGGGATGACTTAGATGCATATTTGCTACGCTTTGAACGTACTGCAACGGGAATGGGTTGGCCTCAGCAGAAATGGGCGACGACTCTGAGTTTGTGCCTCACTGGTGAAGCATTGACGGTAGTGGGTCGGTTGTCGCCAGAAGACGCACTGGACTATGCGAGAGTGAAGCTGGCACTGCTTCAAAGGTTTCGCTACACTAAAGAAGGGTATAGAGAACGGTTTAGGGATGCAAAGCCCGAAGAGGGAGAGACGAGGAGACAGTTTGCCGCACGTCTCGCTGGGTATTTTGACAGGTGGGTTGAGATGGCCAATATTCAACACACGTTTGAAGCCCTCCGTGACAAGGTCTTGGTCGAGCAGTTTCTGCTCACTTGCTCCACCAAGTTGACTATTTTTCTCCGAGAGAGAGAATGCCAAAGCTTGCAAGAAGTTGCGTCAAAGGCGGACCTTTTCCTAGAGGCTCAGGCCCAGCCTACTACGAGTAAGTCTAGAATCGACGAGACGAATAAGCAGTCTAGTGTGGCGTTAGCAGATAAGTCTAAAACAGGAGGGGACAGGAAAGCTTTGCGTTGCTTTTTATGCAACAAAATTGGGCACAAGGCGGAAAACTGTCATGGACGTCCGCCGGCCTCCAAAGGAATTACTTGCTGGCAATGCGGGAAAACTGGACACAGTGCAGATAGCTGCAGATCAAAGCCTAACGACAATCATCAGGCGTCATGTCTTTGGACGAAGTCAAGAAACGGAGAGGTGACCGAGCCCGAAGATGGCTTTGTTACCCTCAAGAATGGTGACAAGATTCCGGTTGTCAACTCGGCAGTAGGACATCCTCCCAAGTTTCTAGTGGAGAATCTGCCAGTTGTAGAGGGAGATATGGGTGGCCACAAAATAACTGTCCTCAGGGACACGGGCTGCAACACCGTCGTTGTTCGCCAGAGCTTGGTTCCGAAGGAAGCGTACACGGGAATATTGAGCCCGGTGTTTCTACTGGACAAAACAGTAAGGCACCTTCCCGAGGCCGAGATTATGGTTAGGACACCATACTACACGGGAAAGTTAACAGCGAAGTGTATAAACGACCCTCTGTACGATCTGGTGTTGGGAAATGTGCCGCTTGTACGAGATGCCAATGACCCCGATCCAAGCTGGAGTTTGAATGTGAAAACGAGGGAAGCTCATATGTTGGCGACAGAGCCAGCCGATGAACAGAAGACCGGGACGGAAGGCGTCCTGGCGAAAGAGACACATGTGGAGTCTCTACAACGCTCTGCTGACGAATCGTTACTCGAACGGGGCGATAAAGAGTTCGTGGGCACCGCGGGGGCTGTGCAGACCAAGAAACCTACATGTCAACCCCCGCCATCGCCTCCCGAACTGCGAGTACCTGAGGTACCACTGCTTCAAACAACTAAAGAGGAGCTCATCCAGGAGCAAAAGAAGGACGAAACCGTGAAGAAGTGCTTCCACGACGTTGGGAAAGTAACCAAGAAGCACAGGGGCAGAACGAAGTACGAGTTTTTCATTAGGAATGAGCTGTTGTACAGGAGCTGTACATACAGTTCCGGAAGAAAAACCGACCAGTTGGTACTCCCGAAAAAGTTTCGGCGAACTGTCACCGGGATGGCACATGACGGAATAATGTCAGGCCACCAGGGCGTGAGCAACACAATAGCACTAGTGTCTGAAGAGTTCTTTTGGCCGGGTGTCCAAAGCGACATTAAGAGGTACGTGTGGTCGTGTGACATTTGCCAACGGACGGTCCCCAAAGGGAGAGTAGGCAAGGCCCCCTTAGGTACCATGCCGACGATTGTAACTCCCTTTCAGAGGGTGGCCATTGACATCATTGGTCCGATTGCTCCCAAATCAGACTCGGGGAACCGATACATCTTAAGCATGGTGGATGTGGCTACTCGATACCCCGACGCGGTAGCCTTGAAAACCATCGGAACTCCGGTAGTAGCGGAAGCTTTAGTTGACATGTTTACGCGATACGGCGTACCAAGAGAGGTCCTTAGTGACCGTGGTAGCGCGTTTACTTCCGACCTGATGAAGGAGGTGGGTCGCCTGCTGTCAGTGAGACGCCTTTTGACTACTCCCTATCATCCCATGAGCAACGGGTTGGTAGAGAAATTCAATGGAACTT